AATATCAAATCGTCCAGGTTTTTTGGATTTTTAACTAGTTGAGAAACAATCTTATCAGGTAAGAATTTGACGATACGTTAGTTCTTACTTTTAATGTAAACAATTGCAACAAAAATGTTACAAATTTTACCATAGATAAATTAGAAAATAAAATAGAAAATTCGCGACTTATAGTCAATTTAACATTAGTCTTAGCATTAATTACATTAGCATGAACTTTATGATGTTTCTGACAACGGCCCCCAGATGTGCTTCTGCTGCAGATTTCGCATGTGCTTCCATGTATTATGGCTGGTTATTTGTGCCATTTGTGCTACAGCTCTTTAAGGTGATGAACTATAACAAATAACGAATGTCTTTTTTATCGTTGGCTGACGATCAAATGCTGCTTATTGTGCCACTGCTGCCACCCTTGCAAGCACGTTATGCCATGTTGTACAGTAACACATGATTATGCAGTCGTAACATATAAGTTACGCACTTCATTTATCTATATATAACCTTACATTTATTACCTAAGATAGGTATAGATTTTGGCAGTCGGCTATAGTGTGGACGTCCATATTCTTCCATGCTGTGTTTGCGCTTTCCGCTTATTTTTACTGATGCTTGTGTATACATGGTATAAACTGTAATAATATTAGATTCTGTTTGTTCTTGTCACTACGATCAGTATAGATAGATAGGTAGGTAGGTAGGTAGATAGATGTATAGATGGATAGGTAGATAGATAGGTAGATATAGATGGATAGATGGATAGGTAGATAGGTACGTAGATATATAGATGGATAGGTAGATATATGTAGGTAGATAGATGGATAGATGGATAGGTAGGTAGATAGATGGATAGATGGATAGGTAGATAGGTAGGTAGATAGATGGATAGATGGATAGGTAGGTAGATAGATGGATAGATGGATAGGTGGATAGGTAGGTAGATAGATGGATAGATGGATAGGTAGGTAGGTAGGTGGATAGATGGATAGATGGATAGGTAGGTAGATAGATGGATAGATAGATAGGTAGGTAGGTAGGTAGATAGATAGGGGGAGAGGGGGAGATAGATAGGTAGGTAGGTAGGTAGATAGATAGATAGGTAGATAGATAGATAGATAGATAGATAGATAGATAGATAGACCGAAATAAACTAAACAAAGTCTCGACATTGATAATATCAATATGGAGAAGTGGGAATCTGAGGCCCTGTTGTCAGCAACAAAATTACGTATAACATTAGTCTCATCATCGCGACGTTTTCTTGTAAACCGGACATATCAACTGGGCCACTGCATACGAGAAACTCGTAACCTTACCACGTTTATGCTGTGCTGAAGGTCTGCAAGAAAAATCCACACATCGTAAAGTTACGCAAATGAGAAATCACACGCGAATCGCCTCGTAATGACTTTACAAAACAAAATTCTGCGGAATTGAACGGTCCGTCGAGAAAACGTCAACGTCGAGACTAATGTTAAAAGTGATAATTTTTGTTTTCTGACACTGGCGCGTCGCAGTCACTATGGGACACTGACCGTACCTACATCGCTCTCTGTGTTGCAGGCTACACGTGCCAGGAGGACAAGTTCAAGTGTGATAACTCGGGTTGCATTAGCCGCACCTGGGTCTGCGACGGACACGACGACTGCGGAGACGCGTCAGACGAGGGAGACCAGTGCAGTAAGTGTCGGCCATGCGTAAATAAGAGGCTGTCCTTTGGGGGGCACGGAAATCAGGGGATGATTGCACCCCCTGGTCGCGCTACAGCCGTGTGCTTGACTTCTGTTTTACAGAGATGCCCACATGAAGATTCTTATTATTTGTTGCAGTTCTATTATAATCATATTTAAGTAATGCTTTGACCTAAATAATCGTTGTTGTTAATCTGACCTAATCTGCGTTATTGTTAATATCTTTAATTTTGAACCTCGGACTGCGGACTCCCTCACTTTGCTGCGGACTCCCTCTTTTTGATGGTAGGGAGTCCGTTGGACTGTCCCTTGTTCAAAAGTTAATTTCTACCCCTGCTGTCGTTGTGTTTCAGAGACGCGCACGTGCGACGAGACAGAGTTCCAGTGTCCCGGCACCGGTCGCTGCATTCCAGACACATGGCGCTGCGATGGGGACAACGACTGCGGAGGGGAGAACCCAGCAGACGAGAGCGCGGAGGAAGGATGCGGTACGC